ATTCTTGATCATAGATAATGATTTATGGAATGGAATAATCTCCAGCACCTGAAAACTGTTGTTTGCTGAGACATGGACAACGTATGTAGCATGAAGAGCATGCTGCGCGACTGTTTCAATGCGAAATTTTAGCTTTTCCTCCATATACTTTAAAAACCATCAATCTTGCTGTCAAAAAACATGAGAGATCTTTTTCGTAACAAATTTGATTCTACACAAAAAATAGTAGTCTTTATACTCAATTGTTAGCTTAGCCATTTTGAGCGGAAATGTCATAACATGGACTTTAGTCCTTTTTATGGACGCAAAATGATAGAGATATTAGTTTCCTACCAAATTTATTCTCTTACATTTTACGCAGGTTTGATATTTTCAAGATATTCGTTTCTACGCAAACGACCCAGCTCTATCTTAAGAAAGCAATATTCTAACGATACCACAAAAAATGTTTACTGTTGTACATATTGTAGGAAAAAATTACCGATTTCCTGGCCTATAGAAATTCATGGAAATCGTTCTGGTTCTGACGAGAAAAGGAGTATAAAATGTGTGAATGATGGCGGTTGGAGGTACCTACCTGTCCGGTGTCGGTGAGCGTGACCCAAGTTGTGACGGGCTGCCGGAGGCTGACGTCAGCTAGCCGGATTTCGCCCTCGCCGATGAGGGTGTGCGACAGGAAGTCAGTGGCGTACACGTGGAAGCAAAGCAGACGTGTCGACTGCTCGCGGGGGTTCATCGAGAATAAGAAACGTTCCTGGAAGAAAAAAGCCATTAGAGAGCTTGGAGTTTACTTAGTAATTTCAACGTAAGTGCCTTATAGGGCTTTATTTTGGCGATACTAATTTTGGTTTTGCACTGGTGCTTGTTTGATGCTTTTTTGACAAAATTGAATGTCCATATTGGAACGAGTTTTTTGAAATCTGTATTTATTTATGAGTAGATTTGAACACTCTCATTTTTTTAGTCCGACCTACGATTTTCACTTCAAACGGTAATAGCTTTTTGTGCTCAACAAATTTGCTTAACAATTACTGCGGATTTCAAGGACAATTTTTATTTGGCGTTCAGTGTCTGTCAAGACAGCCATGTGAAATTCCTTACGAACACTATTGGTGGAAAAAAAAAATTAGTACACCAAATAATGCCTCTTGATACATAGTACATACATGTATGCCAAATTTTATTGAAATATTTGATGTGGTATTAGCAGATATTTATAATGAATGATTTATCTTTAAAAACTTCACCATCCGAAATCTCAAAAATTCTTGACACCACAAGGAATGACAGCCAAATTTTTTTATTGACAGATGATAGCAAGAGATGCGAATTGACAGATATTATAGGCTCGTTCTGGAATAAGTTTTAGAATGAACTAAGGGGAGTGTGTTTCAAACAGCTAACCTATTGTTGGCTGTACTTCAAAAAATTACTCTTTCGGAGTAATCGATAACGCAGGTTAAAATATGAGCTAAAAAGGTTGTACAAGTACGGCTAAGAAAAGTAGTAGCTTGAGTATACTTTAGGAAGTGAAAACTGGCAAAAATCAAATATGCTTATTGACTAATTCTTCCGCACTTCGATTCCAAGCTCCAGAACTTTGATACAAATGAAGTTTGGATTA